CAGCACCAGGCTAAAGGTCAAAGGTGACAGATCATCTGCTGCTGTGGCCCCCAGACTCTGGACCTCTCTCCCCCTGAGCCTGAGATCAGTGGACTCAGTGGTCTCCTTTAAACTCATCTGTTCCGGCTTTGGTGGGACCTTCATCACCCTCTCCTTTTTCTGCCTTTCCCGGGATCCACTGGTTTCCCTCTCTCCTATTCTCTCACTCTATGCATTTTTAATCATACTTGTCTATTTTTGCTTATTTTAAACCTTTTGCTTAAAAATCTTTTGTTCGTGTGAAGTGCTTCGTGATTTTTATCTTGAGAGACGCTCTAGAAAAGATGGTTTTCTTTCCTTCGCACCAGGAGGAATATCCCACATCCCTCTGGCTGTAGAGTATCTGGCATGCTTTGGCACCTGGATCCCCCATTCAGTCTGCTCCAGCTGCCAGGTCTGGTCAGGTAAAAAAACAGCTGATCTGTAGGCGGTAGGCAGATCGATTTTAGGGAAAGATTGAATTGCGATTTTTCTTGGAGAAATTGCAGTTTTGGTTCAGTTCACAATTTTCTTCTAACTAAAAAAAGGGAACCAACTTGAGCTTGGTGTGGTACGTCTGTTTTTGTTGTTGTTGCTTTTTGTAATAAGTTAATCTTTTGTAGTTGATTTAAGTAAATCAATAATCACATCAACGAGCAACCTGACTTGATCCATAAACAAGGAGGTGCACATAACTCTAACAAGTGAACTGGCCCGAGTGCTGATCCGCACAAACAAGACGTTTTAACTCATGGATGTTCTGTTGTCAGCAGAGCCGGAGCCAGCTTGTAATGACTGTGTGTGTTTTTGCCACCGCAGCGGAACCGACCGACCGGAATACCGGCCTCCGGTGAGCTACGGTCCAGGTGTAATTGGCATCAGGAGAGGCACACAGAGGACGTGTTTTTGTCAGCCAACATTAACCCGTGACCGGGTTGTTTGAAATTACAAATTCGGTCAAAAATTGATAGACAAGCGGCACTCCGTGGCCAGAGAAGGGCCCCTGAACCCCCGCGCTGGAGGGGTAGGGACAGCGCGGGGGTTCAGTGGTGTTTCACTATACGCAGCACCCCCTACCGGACCTCACACTTCAAGGTGGTTTTGTTGCGTGGCCCTCGGACCTTTACATTTGAGAAACCCTGCGATAGATTGTTCAGCCCCAGTAGGCGGGGCTCCAGCTGCCTTTAGTAAGGTCCAATAAGAAGACACCTGAATGGTAAGCGAAGTTCCACGCTTGTGTCACAGGCAGGTGAGGCAAAGTACTAGTTTGTTGGTTCTGGTCTAAACCTTTACCTGACTGTGGGCCCAACAAGATTCAGGGACACTGAACAGAAACAGCTGGATGATGTCATAAAGAGAAACTAGTTCATGCTAGAAACTGATTTCATTCAAGCTGAAAGTTTAGTAAAAAGTCTTTTAAAAGTCAGTTTTAGAGAAAAAAGTACACGGATAGAGTTTTAGACCCGGTTTTAGCATTGGGCACATTTTGGTTGTGAGGGGGAGGAGCTTCAGGCTCTGCGTGAATATGTTTGTTTCTGATTCAGAAGGTTGTGATAAAATGATTATTATAGCTATGGCTACCCCACCACTGAGCAAACTAGTCTCTGTTGGTGTTTCCATTGGAGGACATGGTTAGTGTAGCACCTCTTACAGGCGGTTTGCATTTACTCTCATAAGCCCCCCCCCCAGCCTCTGTGACATCACCATTTGCTCCAATCCTGATGGACCATGACCTATAACGCTATAACTCTCTCACTCCGTTCACCATGTTGATCTGTTTCCAGCTCCAGCCCATAAAGGACAAGAAGATTGTGTCTGAACACACACACACACACACACACACACACACACACACACACACACACACACACAAACACAAACCCCCTCCCAATCCATCTTTCCTCATGTTTTGTGTTGGACTGCGTGTCTCCCCACATGCAGCTGCAGCTCCAAGGTGTGTAGGAGGAGTTCCCTGGCAGGAATGTGTGTGTGTGTGTGCACGTGTGTGTGTGTGTGACTGGCATATCTGCTCCTCAGTCCTTATGCAGAGCTTCCATCTTCATTTGACTTGACTCAGTCAGATATTTCGTACCTCAGAGGTCTGAAGCAGCCGACCTCTGTACGTCAGTGTGCTGTTGGGAGAGAGCTGTGATTTTTCCTTGCTGCCGTGGGTCACCTGACTCTCCAGTGGGATTCTGGGAGTTTTCTCTGGAGATGGAAAATGAAAACTGGCCTTTCAGTGGTATAAAAACATTATGGTATGTTTGTGTAGATTCTGGTTGACGGTGCTACAAACTGTTGCTAAGTTTCTCTCTGCGTCTCACTCTTCTGCTATAAGTTACTCTCATCAAATCATGGATGTTAGTTGGTGGTGTTAGCGTGCGTTCCAGTTGTCCTTGGAACTCGGAATTTCCAAGCAGGAAATGACATGACAGGCGTGTTTTGCGTTCCACCTTCCACCTCGTTAAAAATGGATGCCACC